TGTTAGTGTACCCATTATTCTTTAATTTGTTTGACATTTAGACACTGTAAAGAGTCCCCATTTTCCTAATTAACTTTTATTTGAGTTCATTGCTAAATCTGAACTGATTACCCTTGCTATTTGTCACTGGAACACAAGCTTTATGAGGTATCACCAAAGCCTTCTGTTATTATATTTTCAACACCAGCCCTGCTGGGGAATACTGCATGACAGTGAGTCTGTACAATATGTGGGCCTGCTCTCCAGTGCTGCTTTATTTTTAATCTGTCACTTTATCTATACCAATTTGTCTGATAAAGTATCCTTGTTTTAAAGAGTTGAACTTAATTTTACTTTCTTTTAGCTTTGAGGCTTTTGAAGATCAAAATTACATTAATATGGAGAAATATGCTGTTGAGAAATATGGAAAAACTTTATAAAACACTTATTATTGTAGTTTTTTACTACAAATATTTTGTATACATTTGTTTAGTATTACATTACTGGAGTAATCACATTGTGCATAGGTTCTGAAACTTGCCTTTGTGTATATCTATGTATCTGTATATAATTATATTTTAAAAGATATTTGATAGTGTTACTTTTAATATTTTAGTATTTATTATATAATTGCACTTCTATGTTACTTTAAAAATGTATATTACTGTGCATTGAGGTTATTTTCAACTTTTCTCTACAATAGTTGTGGCAATAGAGCACCTCTGTATATAAATCTTTGTGCATATTTTTGATTATTTCAGAAACAGAATTAATTATCTGGTAGAATTATAGGGGCAAATGTTAATTTCTAGTAGTTTTAAGGCCTTTCATATCATTGCCATACTGCTCTTCAGAATGGTTCTATTCACCTGTTTTTTTTTTTTTTCAAATTACCTATTTCTACCAGGTGTGTTTGATTAAGAATTCCCATTTCCTATACCGTTGACAGATACTTTATTTTAAAGGTGTGTTCCAGTTTCTTGGGTGAAAAACACAATTTTATGATTATCGTGTTTGTATTTCTTTTATAACCAGCTAGGTTGAAATATTCTTTCATATGCATATTGGCCATCTGTCTTCTATTGAGAGCTGGCTTGCTTTCTTTCCTTCACTGCTAATGGTAGGCAAATTGAATTGTTAGCTTCTGTCTATATAGACTAAATAAAATAATAAGAATACAAAACTAAAATTCAAGTAAAATTATCACCAAAGGAAACTTATGAGCCTGAGCTAAATTAATCTGTTAACACTTGATTTCATTCTCTCTTTTTTTCTTTCCTTTTTTTTTTTTTTTTTTTTTTTTTCCTACAAAGTATTGCATTTTTTCCTGAAATCAAATGTAGCTGTGGTAGGAAAGACCTGGATTCTGCTATCAGTACGCTGTTTAGACTGCTGGCAGAGTTCAGTGTTTAAGAGGGAGCACAAGGTGGGCTTGTGGCCAATATCATTTCTACACCTCAAACCATTTCCGCTCAGCTTGGTCTCATGCATCCTGCAAGCCATGGTTCTTCTCACATTCCTCCCACCTCCTCCTTTAGGCACACCTGTAGAGTGGTACATGGTGGGGTGCATGTTTGTATGTTTTGGGAATGGGGATGTATATTTAAGAGGACCACATTAGGAGTCAGAAGAGCTCTTGACTGTTCCCGGTGCTGCTGGTTACCTTCCTTCTTATGGTAAGTAATTCACTTTTAGGAGCTTCATCTTTTTTCTCTGCAAAATTAGGGTAATAACATACATATTCCTCCACTCAGGAGATTACTGTGAGGTTCACATGTGATAAAAAGGGTGAAAGCTCATGGACAACCATATAGTGCTATGCAAAAATAAATTATTATCATGATTAAAGCAAATTACAGATCAAATTCAAGGCAAGGTAAAGATCAAAGAAACAGTCAAAAGAAGAAAAGAAAAAGAGATGAAGGTAAGCAAGAGAGCAACCTTACAGGAAAGAGCAAACATTTATATTAGAAGTTTATACAAATAAATAAATAAATAATCACATCTACTATTAGAGAAAGTGCTTGGCATATAAATTAACAAACTTAAAAATTTGAAAATCTCTCTATGGCTCTGCTTGAAAGACAGAATTCATGATATCTGCTGGTTCCTGGACTTTCACTAGATTTATTTTTGTATGAATACCTGCCAGAGTGTGCACCCTTTTACTTAGGACTGATTATTATTTCACTTATTATTTAAAAAATAATTCAACAGACATTTACTGAGCAGTTACTATGTGCTAGTCACTGTAATTAATGTTGGATATATAGCAATAAACAAAATAGGCACCATCCTTGCCCTCATGAAGTTTATAGTTTGGGGGAAGAATTTTTCATACACATAACATATTATTATAAGTTGCTGCTATTATACATTATAATAGGAAGGAAAAAGATTGGATTCTAAGGGCAAAAGACAATAAAAGAAAAAAATTATTTTGAGGGAAACATTACAAAGGAAACATGGCTTGCAGACCCTCAGGGTTAGAATTTCATGGCAGAAAGCTATCAGCTTCTTACCTGGGATACAATATTACTTTAAGTTCACCGTAAAAGCTTAGAGAAACTGTTACTGTTTATGCAGAACATTGTGTTTCTCTAATCATAAATAAGACAAGGTTACAGATTACAAACAGTTGTAATGCAACAAGTTTATTATAATAAGCTCTTCTCTTTTATTAACAAGACGTGCAGCACTTTATTAAAATGTATTTTCTCTGCAGTGGTCTAAGAGACCTGGGAATTACTCTCCTTTGTTTATAAATGATGATAGTGATTCATAGAGAGGTGAGATGATTTAGATGGTTTGGGAGCCGGTGTGTTAAAAACTAAATATAGGACCTATTGGGATAGAGCTACCTTTTATGTGGTTAGAAATGGAAGTTTAAACTATGTGTCAGAGATACTAAGCATTTTATTTTTAAAAACAAAGGGTATCTTTTTTCTTTAAGCAATTGTAGGAAAAGCATGGTGATTCTTGATGAGATGGTAGATTTTCGGAGTGCTAAAAATCTAGACACACACATACACGCACACGCACAAGCACACATCCAAGAAGTCCAGTTTTAATTATATCTTTCTACAGTCAATGGAGGGATCCAGGACAGTGAAGACATAAATCCAAGATTAATAATGAAAAGAGACAGTTAGAAGCAAAACATGATTATATTGGTCTCTTGCTTGAAATCTTTCATTGCTTCAAAGTTTCAGTCCAAACCCCTTTGCTTTGGGGAGTCCCTTGTGTCTGGGTCTTTGTATTTCTGTCTTCTCTGCCTCACCCTCTTCAATGCATTGTTCATCTGGTCATTCCCAACTACCTCCTGTGGCTTAAAAACCCCAATCTCTTTGCTGCCTCCATGATTAATTAAGCTGTTGTTCTGTCTGGAACAACTGTTCCCTACCTCTCCTACTGCCTATTCATCTTTTAAAGCTTAGGCTGGATAACTCAGAGGCTTTCCATAACTATTTCTCACCTCTGACACTGAATCACCAAATCTGGGTTTTAGTTATTCTTTCTGTATGCTTGCATGCCATGCTGTTCACCTCCCAGTCACAGCAGAATCCCTCAGCATTGCAATTATTGTGATTATAACTTGTCTTTCTCCTTCACCAGATTTGGGAGAGACTTGAGGGCTCTAGAGACTTGAGGCAATAGCATTTCTTTTATCTTTCTACTCCTGGCATTAATGTGATGCCTGACACAGGATAAGCACTCAGGAAATATGGACAAATGAATGAGTGAATGGACTGAATCTCTTGTTGACAGTATCCTCTGTTGTGTCCCATAGACTCCATGGCTGCTAAGTTCTGTTCATTTAAGGTTGAGCTGTAAAAAGCCTATGGAATCCCCTGAGAAATTTCTTTCTGAAGGGACTAACAGGTACATTGAGGACATTTTAAAACAAGAGTGCTTAAAAGCATTTACTTCTCCCCTTCCTTGTCCTACTCTTTTCCTTGCATGTATTCTTGTGGTTTTATTTCAATGAATTTTCAGATTTTGACTTGTGTCTTTATATATGTATTATGTATAGATATAGATATATATGTATTATGTATAGATATACATATATAGATATATGTATAGATATACATATATTTATATGTGTTACATAAATGTATTGGATGTATTAATATATAGTATATATACATATATGTACTTGTTCTCTCTAGGCTTGGAAAAGAAAAATCTTTGTGAGATAAAATTAAGTAGGCTGATAAAATTCAGTAATGAATTAAAGCATATTTAATCAGAGTTTTAGCTCTTAACCTGAGACACCTGAAAAGTATTGGCATTCTATTGATTACTGTGGTAGAACATCTGTGCAGAGTACGGTGGCAAATAGAGGTATATTCCTGGTGCCTTGTGACTAGAGTTGACCACTTTGAGTTCTCTCTAAGAGAAGATGAAGTTGAAATAGGTACACCTCCAAAATACCCAGATTTTAGAATTGAATACTTGCCAATTTTAATCTACGAACCAGTGTACTCTTTTTCTATTATAATCCAATGTGGATTTTGTTAAAGAATCTTACATGTTTCATTTCTCTTGCGTATTTTGGGTTTATTTCATAACTGTGCTCATTAAGCTTCTGGCTTCATTAGTATTGAAGGTAGTATTGTGGTAGGAAAAATTGGGCTTTAGAGTCAGACATACAAGAGGCTGAATTCTGATTTTCTAAGTAAGTAACTATGACTTTGAGAATGTTGAATAACTCTTAAAACTTCATTTATTCTTATCCATTAGTGCTATTTTAAGGACTAAATGAATGATTTACTAGTGAAGAGTAGACAAATAAATGTTGGCTCACACCAAAATTACATTTGTCTGAGGAGGAAGAGAGAAAAGAAGGCAAATATAAAAGAGAACCTGTTAAAAGTTAACAAGCCATGTTAGTAGTATCCAGAATGTTAGTCATTCTTCCAATATATTCTTTTTTAAAAAATTAAAATAATCATCTTTTTTTATCTTTTTAAAATGGAAGAAATATACCCAAAACTAACATAAACAAAGGACACATCTTGCCAGGGAAATATAGTTTATTGGAAAAACCACCAAGAAATTTTCTTCTATGGAAATACCCAATACAAGAAACAAGAGCCAGGAAGCAGTATGATCAAGAACATGTAATCTGAGGTCTTACAGATTGAAACAGTATTTTGCTAATAAAACACATTCACCTGCCCACAGGAACCAAATGGTTATTCAGCTAAATAACCATGAAAAATACTTTTCTTTTTTCCCCCCATTAAAACCAAAGGTAAATTCTTCATATCTGGGCCATCTGATCTACCTTAACGTCTGGTAAACTACTGAGGCAAGTGACTACTGAAGAGACAGCTTCTGGATTCCTCGTTGTCGGGCACTGAGCAAAGTAGCCATCCATCAGCAGCTTTTTGGGAGGCAGGGCTCACAGCAGGGCTGAGTGAAGGTGGTGAGGTTGAGGGTCTCCAGGCCTGGGGTTGGCTGGCAGGAATTGAGCAGGAAGCAGGTGGGCACGCAGGGCTGAGGAATGTAGCAGGGTGGGGGACAGTTGTCACAGCAGGTGGGCTCCAGTAACCAAACCGTGTGTGGGCAGGTGCTGGGCAGGCAGACTCCGCAGCGGCAGGATTTGTCGAAGGTGCAGATGGTGGTGGCGGGCCCGGTGGGGACACTGCAGCTGCGAGAGGCACAGCAATCCATGGCAGTCGGTGTCTGGTTAGCTTTCAGTTTCTTAGACAGATGAGGTTGGTGAGGTACAAATGTCTCCTCTCTTGTTAGGGTTCTTATATACCCTCCCAAGTGGGCATTGGTCCAGCTGGAAGGCTTCCTGTTTTGTTTCTGGCACCCTTTTTCACTGAGATTCTCTAATCTGTTTGGCATGTACATGTCCATTAAGAGTTCCCGCTCTTGTTAAGTTAATCATATTTTTGAGTCATTGACTTGTCATTTTTGTCACAAGGTCATCACATTTTGTCTTCACAGGGTTCTGGCATGCCAAACCTTACATGACTTTTATGGGTAATCAATCCAAGTGACTATTCAGCTGTAATTTTGGAGGCCAAACTCTTCTTGTTTTCCCTCTTAATTTAAAATACTGTGGATCACATAATGTGATTTCTAATGACTAATTTCAGAATGAGTAACTCAAGTGATGAATTGGACCATTTTCAACTCAATAAAGTCAACAAGAATATGGCTATTTACAGATGAATGTTTCATGTGGCTACAGGCATCTCAGACATGTTTGCATTATTTAGTGATATTATAATTCAGGTTCTATTGAGCAAGCAAAGTGGCAGAGTGGTACAGGATGAAATTCCTTTCTGTTATTTTTAATAAATCCGTAGTGAATTTCTCAAGGTTGTATTCTATGGATTGTTTTTTTCTAAAAGAGTCTCTATTCCCAAAGCTACACCACAAAGTTACACCTCTTGTGGTGAATCAAAGTATAAATTCATTGGAAGGAAGGAAGGATCCACACAGTGGCCATTCTTTGTTGAATGTACCATTAAAAGAAAACCACCTCAGCCTTGATTCATTTTCATGTGAATGGTGTATGCACTTTAAAATAAGATGAAATAGGAATGAAAAGGAGAAACCTTAAGAGTCACAGAACAACAGTGGATTTTGGCAGGAAATCTGACCCAATGCAATTTAGAACTATGGCATTCATAAAAATCACTTTTTCACTGACTTACTCCCTACTTTGCTTGTTTATTTGTTTTCATATCTTGGATCTTGAACTAGATTGAAATTCCTTTGAGGTATGCTTTAAACAACATCCTTATTTCAGTCAGCCAGAAATTGAACCAGATAATCTCAAATGTGTAATACTCTAGATTCCAACATCTTCCTACACCTGTCCATGATCAGCACAAATCCTTTCAGATAATACTGTATAATTTAAATTACATACTTGTTGTGGTAATTTGTTGAATAAACAGAAAGCAAAGATTCTTGGTAGATTGTTTCTGATGGCACATTACCAAAAACTAGTAAGATCTATTTAAAAGAGAAGAAAGCTGACTAAAATCATTGGAAAATATCAAATGTCATTCATAGGTAAGCCTTATACGTTATATGTTAAAACAACCAGTTTATCTTTTTTTCTTTTTAACAACAAAAATAAGTGACCCATGTATGCCATCGAATACTACGCAGCCATAAAAAATAAGGAGATCCCATCCTTTGAAGAAACACGGATGGAGCTGGAGGCAATTATCCTTCGTAAACTAATGCAGAAACAGAAAACCAAATACTGCATGTTCTCACTTATAAGTGGTAGCTAAATGATGAGAACACATGGACACATAGAGGGGAATAACAGACGCTGGAAGCTATCAGAGGGTGGAAGGTGGGAGGAGGGACAGGATCAGGAAAAATAACTCATGGGCACTAGGCTTGATACCTGGGTGAAGAAATAATCTGCACAACAAACCCCCACGACACAAGTTTACCCGTGTGACACACCTGCACGTGTACCCCTGAACTTAAAAGTTAAAACCAAAAAAACAGAAAACAACTTTCAAATCATTTTCATGAGCAGGAATTTACAACAAATGCCAAGCGTGTTGAACATCATACTGTTACCAGATGGTGCCATGCAGGTCCAGGGCTTTTGGTGTCCCAAACAAAGAATTGGACGAGACACACACAGCAAAACGAAGCAGCAAAAGTGTATTAAGCACAGTATTACACTCTAAGAGGGGGAGAGCGAACCGACCTCTGTGAGACCAACCCCCAGCTTGGTGCAGTTTGGGTCTTTGTGTGTGTATGTGTGTGTGTGTCTCTTCCCAAGGCTGCCTAATCTCTAGCCAGTGTCTGCCTCTTTGATGGACAGGTGTGTTGCTTAGTTACTTTGGTCCCTGTGTGCTTGCACACCACCTCCAGCCCATAATTCTAAGTACATACGTGATATGCGGTCCATATGCATAAGCCTGAATGAGCTGATTTTCATACAAGGTGATGTTAAGGATACTTTTTCTCTTTAATGCACATGCTTATCCATGAAGAGTTGCCCCTTACTGGTTTGGTCCTTATCCTGCTCTGGCAATGGGGGACTTGCTTTCTTCTCTTATCTTACTTTTTGTTTTGGCTAGAGTACAGTGGCATTCTCTGCTCACTGCAACCTCCACCTCCTGGGTTCAAGTGATTCTCCTACCTCAGACTCCCAAGTAGCTGGGATTACAGGTGCCCATCACCACACCCAGATAAGTTTTGTATTTTTTTGTAGGGGGGGGGTTTCACCATGTTGGCCAGGCTGGTCTTGAACTCCTAACTTCAAGTGATCCACCTGCTTTGGCCTCCCAAAGTGCCAGGATTACAGGATGAGCCACCGCACCTAATCTAACTTCTGCTTCTTATCTTGCTTCTTGCTTACCTGCCCCTTCACCTTGCTTCTGGTCCCTGCTTTTATTCACTCCGCCCGTTATCCAAGTTTTAATTCCCTTTGCTATTCTCCTCCCTCAGTACCTACACTTTACCACTGAAGAACAGAGAAGCAAATTCAAGTGGCCTTCCCAGTATATTATAAAATTCAAAGTTAATGAACTAGTATTGAAACCGTCAAGGAAATGTCTAATGTTTACTTACTCTTGACTTACCAGTCTCTCTCATCTAGAAGCCAGTGGCTTGGCAAGTAGAATATATGAAGAAGACCCTCTCCCATTCTCTGTGTTCTCTCTGACTTCTCTTTTAAAATTTATCTTGAAATATTATATAGATTCAGGAGATCTACTATACAACATGGTGACTATAGTGAATAACCATATACTGCAATGAAAAACGCTGAGAGAATGGATTAAGTGTTCTCACCACAAAAATGATAGCTATGTGAATCATGCATATGTTAATCATACAGCACATCACATAAAGTGAAGGCGGGAGTCTCCTAGGTTCTTTACCCTCTGTGACCTTGTTCATACTGTTTCTTTAACTTAAACTGACCTTTCCCAGTTCTCTACTTTCCAAATCATGTTGATCCCTCAAGATTCAGCCAAACATCCCCTTCATAAAGAAACTTTAGGTGATTCTTCTAGATGTTTGCATCCTTCTCTCTGTTCTCACAAAATGGGCTGCCTATTCTTCCCTTTCAACCTCATTTCTTTCTGCTGTATTTTATAGTTTGTCACTTAAATTTGTTTTCCTCACTCCAATGCAAGGTTTTGGAAGTGGTAATCGTATGTTAGCCTTATTTGTCTTTTTCAAGCACTTAGGACAATGCCTGAAACAGGGTAGGCATTTGATAAATATTTGTTGCATTGGATTACATTTCAAATTAGAATTAAAAAGGTATTTATTTATTTTTGTAATGGCCTTTTATAACAGTAACTCTTTATATAAGCAGAGTGTTTCATTTTTTGTGTGAATTGCTTTACAGTAGTCAAAACTTTTTTTTTTTTTTTTTTTTTTTAATTTTATTTTCATTCTTGTTGCCCAGGCTGGTTTTTTTTGAGATGGAGTTTCGCTCTTGTTGCCCAGAGTGCAATGGCGTGATCTCTGCTCACAGCAACCTCTGCCTCCTGGGTTCAAGCCATTCTCCTGCCTCAGCCTCCGGAGTAGATGGGACTACAGGCGTGCACCACCACACCTGGCTAATTTTGTATTTTTAGCAGAGACGGGGTTTCTCCATGTTGGTCAGGCTGGTCTCGAACTCCAGACCTCAGGTGATCCGCCCGCCTCGGTCTCCCAAAGTGCTAGGATTACAGGCATGACCCACCGCGCCCAGCCAACATTTTTAAATTCAAAGATTTACTTAAATGAGATGGTGAAAAAAATAGGGGTTAGCTCAATCTTTGAGGTCCTTTCTGTGAGCATGTTGATCTCAAATTGCCAGCTTCACTCCTTCTTTAAGGACACTTGTGAGTTTATTTAGAGGCAGGGAAAAAACAAAAATTAAAGTTAGATGCTGACCTTGGCATTTAAAACAACTCTAAGCTTAGAGCCTAATGCATTTCACTATCCTCGCAGTTTTCTTCAGGTATCTACGTATGCCTGTGAGGCCTCTTTTTGGCTATGAAATTTATGTTGATGTCATCAGAAAGTGTAATTCTGCTGGATATATTTATAAGTTCATGATGCATGTGTCAAGAGTCGTTGGGTAATTATAGCATTAATGTTGAGACAGTATGTGGTTTGGGGAGTTGTGGTGTTTATTTAGTTTTGAAGTAAGGAGATCCATGATAGCATTTTTTTTCCCATTTCTCATTTGAAATCATTGATCGAAACAGGAGAAGAAAACTTCTGTAAAACTGAAGGCACAGTGGTATAATATTTTCTTCCAAATGGCCTAATTAAAGGCCATTTGCTGAGCAGCCCTTAATGACTACTGAAGGTCCTCAGGGCAATGTGGGCAAAGCTCTGTGGCTAGCAGCAAAGTGGTTCACACTCACAAGGCTGGACGCAGGTGGTGACAGAGAGCCTACTCAGGGTTGGAGCTGGGTGGCATTTGTTGGGCAGGCAACAGGATGGCACATAGGAGTCAGGCACACAGCAGGGCAGGGAGCAGGTTTCACAGCAGGTGGGCTGAAGGAGGCTGATCTCATGAGGGCAGATGCTGGGCAGGCAGGCTTCACATTGACAGCTTATGTCAGAGGGACAGATAGTGGTGGCCAGGCCAGTGGGGACACTGCAGCATCCTTGGAGCTAGGAATCACAGCAAGACATGGTGACAGTGGACCAGGAAAATGTTTTGTTGCAAAGAAAGGCTTTCTTCTACAAAGTTGTCCTCTATGGGTCTT